GTTGTTGTTATGTTTTTATGATGTATTTGGGCTCGGCCTTTTGTAAGCCGCACCGAGTCCTGTGGGAGATGGTAGCGGGGTATAAATAAAGGATTATTATTATTATTATTATTATTATTATATTAAGTTGCTTTTACATTTTTTTAATAAGTGAGGGTTATATCTATTGGGAGGCAGTTGTTGTTATTGCTGTTGTTCTTTGCCTCCCCATGCTGCCTGCATTTTGAGAAACTGTGTGAAAGCATACTCTTTGCAGTGGAGATAACATTGTATGTTATTTTACAGTGCCATCATTGAAAAATAACATACAAGTATTTGAAATGCTGGGTTGTTGTAGGTTTTTTTGGGCTATATGGCCATGTTCTAGAGGCATTCTCTCCTGACGTTTCGCCTGCATCTATGGCAAGCATCCTCAGAGGTAGTGAGGTCTGTTGGAACTAGGAAAATTGGGTTTATATATCTGTGGAATGATCAGGGTGGGGCAAAGAACTCTTGTCTGTTGGAGCTAGGTGTGAATGTTTCAACTGACCACCTTGATTAGCATTTGATGGGCTGGCAGTTGTTTGGTGTGGCTTGTTGGTGCCTGGGGCAATCTTTTGTTGAGAGGTGATTTTCCTAGTTCCAACAGACCTCACTACCTTGAGGATGCTTGCCATAGATGCAGGCGAAATGTCAGGAGAGAATGCCTCTAGAACAGTGGTTCTCAACCTTCTTAATGTCACGACCCCTTAATACAGTTCCTCATGTTGTGCTGACCCCCAAGCAAAAAATTATTGTTATTGCTACTTCATATCTGCAACTTTGCTACTGTTATTATGTAAATATCTGATATGCAGGATGTATTTTCATCACTGGACCAAATTTGAATACTGGTGGGGTTGGGGGGATTAATTTTGTCATTTGGGAGTTGTAGTTGCTGGGATTTATAGTTCACCTACAATCAAAGAGCATGCTTTACTCCACCAACGATGGAATTGAAGCAAACTTGGCACACAGAACTCCCATGGCCAACAGAAAATACTGGAAGGGTTTGGTGGACATTGACCTTGAGCTTTGGAGTTGTAGTTCACCTACATCCAGAGAGCACTGTGGACTCAAACAATGATGATCTGGACCAAACTTGGCATGAATACTCAAGAAATGGGAACACTGGTGGAGTTTGGGGAAAATAGACGTTGGCATTTGGGAGTTGTAGTTGCTGGGATTTATAGTTCACCTACAATCAGAGAATTATGAACCGCACCAATGATAGAATTGGGCGAAACTTCCCACAGAGAACCCCCATGACCAACAGAAAATGTTGTGTTTACTGATGGTCTTTGGCGACCCCTCTAAAAACCCCTCACGACCCCTCCAGGGGTCCCAACCCCCAGGTTGAGAACCACTGCTCTAGAACATGGCCATATAGCCCGAAAAAGCCTACAACAACCCAGAGATTGTGGCCATGAAATCCTTCGACAATATATTTGAAATGCTATTTTGTGGGCAGTGTGGAAGGGAGAGTTATGGAAATTATAACATACCAGCCGTATCTTATAAACGCAGATGTGTTATTGTATGCTAAGAAAATATGACAGCATACATACAGATGCCGATTCACATAATTTTGGAAGTCTACATGTTAGGATGAATCAAATAACCAGGGATACACGTCTCTCTCTATCTCTCTATGCATTATATATATCGTATGTAGCACTTGACTCTGTTACAAACACCAAGAGCAGAGAAAACGTGGAAGCTCATGCATGTGTTTGTGTACCATCATGGAAAGAAAGACCTGATGTTGTAAAGATCAGTATGGAGACAGACGTATGATATAAATAGGTATGAATGGGGAATGATGGAGAAAAAGGTTTGCTTGTAATGGCAGAGAGGCAGATCAATGGAAATGGAGGCAAGCATGAAAGCTGGGGCAAATGTAAGACGATGGGGCATTAGCTAAAGGAGAGCAGCGTTTCTATAGATGAGGCAGATAAGCATGTCAGAGGGACACGTGGGGACGGATGCAGTCAAGAAAATGACTGGGCAAAGTGCTAGATAGAGAGAATGGAGGGGGCCAGGGGACAATTCTAATAATATAATATAATATAATATAATATAATATATTGTGTATACATATAATATTTATAATATTATAATGTAATGCAATCTAATAATAATATATTATAATTATATATTTATATTACATGTAATATTGCTACGATATAGTGGTATGGTGCAATATAGCAATGTTTAATGCTGATATTGTACTATTCTAATAATATAATATATTGTATGTAGTATATACCTTGTAAGCCGCTCTGAGTCCCTTCGGGACTATTTAAATGTCATAAATAAATAAATTCCAGGTAACAGAGCAGGGATGAAATGAGATGATGTGGACAGAAGGAAGGATGAATAGTACGAGTGGACAGATCGGAGCAGCAAGGACGGGAAAAACAGCCTGGCAGCCTTACCACGTAAGTCCAAGGCAAGCCAGCCGCGTGCGTGCATTTGACAACAACAAAAACAGATTAATTAAACAAACATTGCACATTCACATATGGGCAAATCCAGGTCTTCAGGAAATGATGCATCCACCTGTTTGGATACAAGCTGAGGAGGAACGGCTTTGTTTCTCTCTCTCACACACATACAGATCCACAGAAATACACATAGATTCATCTGCAGCAAAGGAGATACCCAATCTTTACTCATCAATGAGCACCAAGCCTTCAAGGTAGCCTAGACCCACAGAAAGTTTGTCAATTGTGCATATGGTGGCAGTTCGCTTGAGCACCCATTAAGGTCTATGCTCCAGTAAAGGTCCGAAATACCTTTACACGGTCTAATCTTGGACTCTAAGCAATGTCCGCTCTGGGTAGTACTTGGATGGGAGGCTGCCAAGGAATACCAGGCACAGCAGGCTAGATTTCAGAGGACGTGGATGGCAAAACCCCCTCTGAGGATGAAAACCCTGGGAAATTACGCTACTCATAGGTCGACAGGTAACTTGAAGGTGGAGAAATACACAAAGTGTACTTCCGCACTTTCCAGATATATACACACTCCTATTTTACTCCGAGTGTGGGGTTATTTTTGAGTGTACGGGGAAACACCCATTGGGTTGCAATCTCGGGCCACCCCATCTAGCTTCCAAGGTAAACCTGAAGGCTTTTAAGCATCTGTCAGGGGTGTTTTGCTTGCGTTTTCCCGCAGGGCAGCAGGGGGTTGGACTGGATGGCCCCCGGAATAGCTCTCTTCCAAGTCTGGGATGCTATGCTTCAACGAAGGAGCTGCCTGGGCTGCCTGTGCCACCAAGGAGGCTTTTAAGTTGAGGATGGCCATCTGTCAAGAGTGCTTTGATTTCGCAGGGTTGAAAGGGTAGGACTGGATGACTTTTGGGGTTCTCTTCCAAGTCTGAGATTCTATGCTTCAATGAAGGAGCTGCCTTAAAAGCCACCAAGGAGGCTTTTAAGTAGAGGATGGCCATCTATCAGGATGCTTTGATTGTGCTTTTCCTGCAGGGTTGAAGGTGTGGGACTGCGTGACTCTTGGGGTTCTCTTCCAAGCCTGGGATTCTATGCTTTAATGATGGAGCTGCCTGGGCTGCTAGTGCCACCAAGGTGGATATTAAGCAGAGGATGGCCATCTGTCTGGGGTGCTTTTTTGTGCTTTTCCTGCAGGGCTGGGAATGGATGGCCCTTGGATAGCTCTCTTCCAAGTTTGGGATTCTATACTTTGATGAAGGAGCTGCCTGGGCTGCTAGTGCCATCTCGGTGGATATTAAGCAGAGGATGGCCATCTGTCGGGGGTGCTTTGTTTGGGCTTTTCCTGCAGGGCTGGGACTGGATGGCCCTTGAAATAGCTCTCTTCCAAGTTTGGGATTCTATGCTTCAATGAAGGAGCTGCCTGGGCTGGTAGTGCCACCAAGGTGGATATTAAGCAGAGGATGGCCATCTGTCAGGGGTGCTTTGTTTGTGCGTTTCCTGCAGGGCTGAAGGAGGTGGGACTGGATGGCCCTTGGGATAGCTCTCTTCCAAGTCTGGGATTCTATGCTTTGATGAAGGAGCTGCCTGGGCTGCCAGTGCCACCATGGTGGATATTAAGCAGAGGATGGCCATCTGTCTGGGTTGCTTTGATTGTGCTTTTCCTGCAGGGGTGAAGATGTGGGATGGCTCTTGGGGTTCTCTTCCAAGTCGGAGACGCTATGCTTCGATGAAGGAGCTGCCTGGGTTGCCAGTGCCACCAAGGAGGCTTTTAAGTAGAGGATGGCCATCTGTCAGGGGTGCTTTGATTGTGCTTTTCCTGCAAGGATGAAAATGTGGGATGGCTCTTGGGGTTCTCTTCCAAGTTGGGGACGCTATGCTTCAATGAAGTAGCTGCCTGGGCAGCTAGTGCCACCAAGGTGGATATTAAACAGAGGATGGCCATCTGTGGGGGTGCTTTGATTGTGCTTTTCCTGCAGGGGTGAAGATGTGGGATGGCTCTTGGGGTTCTTTTCCAAGTTGGGGACGCTATGCTTCAATGAAGGAGCTGCCTGGGCTGCCAGTGCCACCAAGGAGGCTTTTAGGTAAAGGATGGCCATCTGTCCAGGGTGCTTTGATGGTGCTTTTCTTGCAAGGCTGAAGGAGGTGGGACTGGATGGCCCCTGGCATGACTCTAATCCAAGTCTATGCTTCGATGAAGGAGCTGCCTGGGCTCTCATTGCCACCAAGGAGGCTTTTAAGTAAAGGATGGCCATCTGTCGGGGGTGCTTTGATTGTGCTTTTCCTGAAGGGGATGAGACTGGCTGGCCCTTGGGATGGCTCTTTTCCAAGTCTGAGATTCTATACTACCAAAGGGCAACAACAAATACAACATGATACAAACGATGGTGAAGATCATGATGGTGAGAATGATGGTGATGTTAGTAAACAAACCTGTCTCTGAGGAAGAGGCGCCCGCTCAGCCTGGCTCACCTTTCTCCAGGGGGCTCCTTCTCCTCCGCCAGGTGTGCTGCTCCCTCCCTCCCTCCTTACCTACCTGTCCGAAGAGTTTCACTCTCTTCCTTCTCCTCCTCCTTCTCCTCCACGCAGCGCGCTTCCACTGCAATCCGGTCTCGTTTACATTCCACGGGCGTCCGCATCCTGCGCGGCTCCCAGACCGGTGGGAGGAGTGGGCTGCGTGGCTCTCGCGCTCTGCCTCTTGCGTGGGATGTGCGCGCGCATGGGGGGGGGCAACATGCCACGCCATCCTTACCCATCTCCCCCCACCCTTTCCTTTTTCCTCCTCTCCTCCCCACATTGGTGCCCCACTCCCTCCCTCTTCCTCCTCACCTGCTGGCAGTCTTGGGCGCCCTCCGCAGTCAGCCCATGCTCCAAGCAACCCAAGGCTGCCCTCTTCTTTCTTGCCTCCCTCCTTCCTTCCCTCTTTGCCAGCCAGACTCGCCTCTCTTCTCCCTCTCCTTCCCTCCTTCGCCTCCCTTCCAGCATCTCTCCGGCCATGCCTTGTAAGGGAATCACAGGCAGAAGGGAGTGGCTGGAGGAAAGGCCCTTCTGAGAAGAAGGCAAGAGGTCCTTCAGCATCACCAGAGACAACCAGAGACTGAGAACAACCTCCATGAACCCTTTACATCTACTGAATTGGACATAGTTCTCAATAAATGTAAAAAAGGCAAAGCAGCTGGCTTGGATGATCTACGGATGGAACAAATCAAGAACTTTGGTCCCAAAGCAAGGCGCTGGCTGCTGGAGCTGATGAACAACTGCACTGCATCCTGTCAGATCCCCAAAATCTGGAGGAAAGCAAGAGTCATCGCCATCTTGAAGCCAGGCAAAGACCGCAATGACCCAAAAAGCTACAGACCAATCTCCCTGTTGTGCCACCTCTACAAAGTTCTGGAGAGACTTATTTTGCATAGAATTACAGAAAAAATAGACCCATATCTGATCCCACAGCAGGCTGGCTTCAGGAAAGGCAAAAGCTGCACATCGCAAGTGCTGAACCTGACTCAGCACATAGAAGATGGCTTTGAAAGGCAGCAGATCACAGGAGCTGTCTTCATAGACCTGTCAGCAGCCTATGATACTGTGAACCATCGCCTCCTCCTGAGAAAAATGTATAATATCACAAAGGACTACCACCTCACCCGCCTCATAGGAAACCTGCTACAAAACAGGAGCTTTTTTGTTGAGTTCCAGGGCCAGAGAAGCAGATGGCGGAAACAGAAGAACGGCCTGCCTCAGGGGAGCGTGGTTGCTCCATCCATGTTCAACATCTACACAATGACCAGCCACTGCCAGAAGGGACAGAGAGCTTCATCTATGCTGATGATCGTGCCATTACCGCTCAAGCAGGGAGCTTTGAGATGGTAGAACAGAAGCTCTCCAAAGCTCTAGGTGCTCTTACTGCCTATTACAGGGAAAACCAGCTGATCCCTAATCCATCTAAAACACAGACATGTGCATTTCACCTTAAGAACAGACAAGCATCCCAAACTCTGAGGATTACCTGGGAAGGAATCCCACTGGAGCATTGCAGCACACCCAAATACCTGGGAGTCACTCTGGACCGTGCTCTGACCTACAAGAAGCACTGCCTGAACATCAAGCAAAAAGTGGGCGCTAGAAACAATATCATACGAAAGCTGACTGGCACAACCTGGGGATCACAACCAGACACAGTGAAGACATCTGCCCTTGCGCTATGCTACTCTGCTGCTGAGTACGCATGCCCAGTGTGGAACACATCTCACCACACTAAAACAGTGGATGTGGCTCTTAATGAGATATGCCACATTATCACGGGGTGCTGCACCCTACACCACTGAAGACATTACACTGCTTAGCCGGTATTGCACCACCTGACATCAGCCAGCAAGTATCAGCCAATAGTGAAAGGACCAAGGCAGTGGCATCTCCAGCTCAACCCGTTTGGATATCAGCCAGCACGCCAGTGACTTAAATCAAGAAATAGTTTTCTAAGATCTACAGAGACACTTGCTGGAACACCTCACCATTCCAGTCAATTCCATATCCAATTCTGTGTTCAAAGTACTATCTATGTCTGTTGTCCAAAAGCCTGGTCCCAGAACCACAACTTCAATTTCTTCCTAAATGACAGGAGGGATGGAGCCAATCTTACCTCAGTGGGAAGCGAGTTCCACAGGTGCAGGGCCATAGCCAAGAAGGCCCTGTCTCTCGTCCCCGCCAGATGTATTTGCGACGCTGGCGGGAGTGAGAGCAGGGTCTCCCCAGATGATCTTAAACTGCGAGGCAGGATGTAGAGGGAGATGCGTTCGGACAAGTAAGCTGGGCCAGAACCGTATAGAGCTTTATAGGTCAAAACCAGCACTTTGAATTGAGTTCGGAAGTGGACCAGCAGCCAGTGGAGCCAGCACAACAAGGGGGTGGTATGCCCCATGTATGTCATTCCAGTTACCAATCTGGCTGCCGCTAGTTGTAATTTCCGAACCGTCTTCAAAGGCAGCCTTACGTAGAGTGCATTGCAGTAATCTATTCGGGGATGTAACAAGAGCGTGGACTACCGTAGCCAGCTCAGACTTCCCAAGGTATGGGCACAGCTGGCGCACAAGCTTTAACTGTGCAAAAACTCCCATGGCCATCGCCAAAACCTGAGGCACTAGGCTCAGTGATGAATCCAGGATCACTCCCAAGCTGCGAACCTGCATCTTCAGGGGGAGTGTAACCCCATCCAATACAGGCTGTAACCCTATGCCCTGTTCGGTCTTTCGACTGATTAAGAGGACATCTGTCTTGTCTGGATTCAACTTCAATTTGTTAGCCCTTATCCAGTCCGATACAGCGGCCAAGGACCAATTCAAGGTCTGAACAGCCTCCTTAGTAATGGGTGGGAAGGAGTGACAGATTTGGACGTCATCTGTGTACAGATAACATCATACTCCGAAACTCCGGATGATCTCCCCCAGTGGCTTCATGTAGACAATACTGAATCGGGGACAATACTGAACCCTGAGGGACTCCACAAGACAATGGTTGTGGAGTCGAATAGGTGTCACCCAATAACACCTTCTGGGATAAACAGAAAAACTGGGATCAGATTTTGGGATATATGACCTGTCTGGAAGGGTCCTTACTAGCAAGGAATGGGCATAAAATCATTGCGAGAGATTATCCATAGGCATGGGGCAGGGTGTTATCAGTATGCTGAGAGCACCCAAATATATTTGCCATGCCTTCCAAAACAGCTTTGGCTAAGGATAGTGTGTCTCCTCTGAATGAATGCCTGGAGGAGGTAATAGGCTGGATGAGGAAAAACAAATTGGAACTGAATCCAAACAAGACGGAAGTGCTTGCCATCAAAGGTCCTAATCTGAGGATGGAGGTGTGTCAACCAAGTCTGGATGGAGTTACACCAGGCATGGGCAAACTTTGACCCTCCAGATGTTTTGGACTCCAACTCCCACAATTCCTAACAGCCTACTGTTAGGAATTGTGGGAGTTGGAGTCCAAAACACCTGGAGGGCTGAAGTTTACCCATGCCTGGGTTGCACTCTTCCTGAAAGATTGTGTTTGCAGCTTGGGAGCGCTCCTGGATCCATCCCTCCAAATATCAGCTCTGGTAGATGCAACAGTCCAGAGTTCTTACTGCCAGCTTTGGCTGATACGCCAGCTGTACCCCTTCCTAGATTTGGAAGACCTAAAGATGGTAGTGCACACACTGGCAACCTCAAAGTCAGACTTCTGTAATGTGCTTTACATTGGGCTACCTTTCTACCAAGTTCGGAAACTTCAGTTGGTTCAAATACGGCAGTCAGATTGGTTTCAGGAACATCTAGGAGTAAGCACATTACACTTATCCTAATGTCACTCCACTGGCTGCCAATTAGTACAAGGTGTTGGTTTTGATCTTGAAAGCCCTACATAGTGTGGGTCCAGGTTACCTTCTGGATTGCCTTCTCCTGTATAATCTGCCCCACACACTGAGGTCCTCTATGGGGCATCTGCTCCAACCTCCCAGAACCTGACTGGCAACCATCAGCCAGAGGACCTGTTCATCGGCTGCCCCAAGATGTGTCAAGCCAACCCTTATTGGGATTGCCTTCCATATGGAAATCAATGTCCTCACTGTGAAAGAACATGCAGATCAAGAATAGGTCTCTACAGTCACCAATGGACCCACCACCAAGATCCTACACTTGGAAGGCAATCATACTTGGCCATGAGTAGCAGTAGTAGTAATAATAATAATAATAATAATAATAATAATAATAATAATAATATAAACTTTATTTGTACCCCGCCACCATCTCTCCAAAGTGGACTCGGGGCGGCTAACGAGGCCAAGCCCAAAATTACAGTACAGCAAAATAAAATATAAAGAAGCAAGAATAACATCAAAATAAAATACATGAAATAACAAAATCAAATAAACAGTTACAAAATAACATGATAGAAAAATAGCCTACGATGATGCTACACTTCCTTATAATATCCAGATTATCTGCCTTGAATTGGATTGTATGGCAGTGTAGGCTTCTTCTTTTTTTTTGTCATGTCAGGAGCGACTTGAGAAACTGCAAGTCACTTCTGGTGTGAGAGAATTGGCCATCTGCAAGGACGTTGCCCAGGGGACACCTGGATGATTTGATGTTTTATCATCCTTGTGGGAGGCTTCTCTCATGTCCCCGCATGAGGAGCTGGAGCTGACGGAGGGAGCTCATCCGCCTCTCCCCGGATTCGAACCTGCGACCTGTCGGTCTTCAGTCCTGCCGGCACAGGGGTTTAACCCACTGCGCTACCGGGGGCTCCTAGTGTAGGCTCATATAATCTAGTTCATAGCAGATAATATGGACGATCCGCTTTGATAATCTGGATTATATGGCAATGTAGAAGGCGCCCTAGTCTCCAGGGCAGCAGCAAACAAGCCTGCTCCTTCTTCCTTATGACATCCTTTCAAATGTTTATACATGGCAATCATGCCTTCTCTCAGCCTTCTCTTCTGCAGGCTAAACATGCCCAGCTCTTTGAGTCGCTCCTCATAGGGATTCATGGTTTCCAGACTTTTGCACATGTTAATCACCCTCCTCTGGACACATTCCAGCTGTTCCTGACTTGTGGTGCCCAGATTGGGACACTGGTGGGATCTAACCAAAACAGGCCAGAATTGGGCTATGACTTTCCTCGATGTAAACACTACACTCATTTTGATGCAACCCAAAATCCCATTGG